GAGAGAGAGAGAGAGAGAGATTTCAGCAACTTTCGGCATCAAATTTGTTATAATTGAGATTTATTTAGAAACACATTTTCCCTTTTGCTTCCTGATACGCATTTTTCTACATTTCATCATCATCATCATCATCATCATCATCATCATCATCATCATCATCATCTAGAGTTCTCAAAATGTGCAAAAACACTAAAATAATGTAAATTTTACAACAACAACAACAACAACAACAACAACAACAACAACAACAACAACAACAGCATCAACATCATCATCATTATCATCATCAACAACAACAACAACAACAACAAAACAACAACAACAAAACAACAACAACAACAACAACACCAATCCAAGCAAACAATCTCTATTCTCCCAGGTCCCCGTGTTGGTTTGGCTATAGGTATGCTGTTTGTTGGTCTTCTGTTGGGAGCTGTGGCCACCTTTTTCTTCGTCCGCCGGCGCTATCTAGGCTATCAGAACCAGGAGGACACCACTGCACTCGACACATGGTCGACTCGATAACTCGCCTTTAAAATTGAAACCGGGGGTTTCAAAAGCCTTTTTTTCCCTTTGCCTATTTATATGAGATTGACGCCATCTGATAAGTAGAAAAAAGTCCATGATAGTGTTCAAAAGTGGATTACGGTCACGGGGTTTCAAAAGCTAAAGCTGGGTTTTTGGAAGTTTACTGGGGGGGGGGGGGGTTAAAGCTAGGGTATTTTAGAGAAGTTAACAGGGGGAATTGAAACAGGAGTATGTACTTATTCAGCACGTTGGGTTCAAATCACCGGGTCTGGTCAGAAAGTTTGTTGTAGGCTTACATGCCGTATGCAAATGTCATTTTAAAAAAAAAAATTTTTGGGTCGAAACGAATTCGGAAAGAATAAACGTTGACGTTCTGTGGTCGTTTCAATAAACAGAGGAACTAAACCAAAATAAACGAGTATCGATGAACAACGGTTCGACCCCATCCCCCCTCCCCTATATCTGCACGCCAAATCAGATCCGGTGACCAAATAAGTATTAAGTCTGGCTGTGCTGCATTGGCATCTACTCTGAGAAGAAAGGCCAAGTAATCGCTGCTTCATTGTACGTTCAGGGGACAAAAAAACATGGAATAAGTCCACACCCCGTGCAGTCAACCGGCATGCTCAGTGGAAAATGTAAGTTAAAACAAATTAAAACCTGGTAAATAATATGGTTTTAAACTGGAGACAAAAGGTTCCGATTTTTGAGTGTGTAAAATAAATCTAGTCTTTTGAGTCCTTATGCTTTTTCTTTCACGTGTGTAATACTAAGTAGGGCCTACTCTAAAAAGTAGGTAATGTTATTCAAAAAAATATTTTAGTTCATCAAGTTGTGTTCTCCGCACTCACATTGAAAAAAAGAAATTGACTTTTTGCCGGATCAAGTGGCGGCATTTTTTTTCTTTGTTTTTTATGAAGTTTTTCTATTCTTTGTTTGTTTATGAGTCTGTGTGTATCAAAAGCTGAAGCAACACTTGACCATTGTTACGGGGTAATCAAGAAGGGTGGTAAGTTTAGCTCAACATCAGAAAAATCGAGCCATCAGCGTTTTCAGCGCGTTACTGCTATTGACAGGACATTTTCCGTCGTCAACAGGTGAACGGGGGTTCCTTGGTATGTGGATTCCTGAATTCGACTCCAACCCCCCCCCCCCCTCGATCCAAAATAGGTCACAACAGGTCGAAGCTGATCCTCAACTCCCCCAGTTTGCTCAACAGAGAAAATGAGATATACTTTTTTAAAAACACAACTCTGGAACAGTGTGAAAAAAGAATTCGCGAAGAAGGAAATTGACGTTAAGAAGTTTGTCAAGAGAATGAGTTTTTAACTGTTCCACAAAGCTTTCGCGGATTTGTATCCCATTTTAATCATTGATAACCAACATAGGCATCCTTCTTGGAGGCAAAATTCTACATTCGCGTTGATAGCAATAACTATTTTAAGAAATACACACACACACACACACACACACACACACACACACACACACACACACACACCGCGCGCAATGCTCAAAGATGTGAATGTTCATTTACCAGTTCAAATCCTTGTTACTGTCATTATTTATACTATTCGATTTTAAAAAGAGGAGCTAGTTCAGGATCAAACTTTGAGCACGTTGACTTGTGACGTCACGCGGGAGGGGGGGGGGCGAATTCCATCTATTGCATCTCTCAGTATTACTCATCTGAAGTGAAATGAATCGTGTAAAGACTCAAAAGACTTGATTTTTATACACAATAACAAAGTGGTAGCTTTATTTTTTATCGCCAGTAGGCCTTATACATAATTTAAATGTACATCTACCCCGACTTCGAGATGAAAGAATGCTTTAAAAAACTATTGCAGCAAATTCTATGTCGCAAAAAGCTTTCGACTTTTCGCGCATAAAAGTGATGGGGGATAAGCAAGGACCTTCCTACAACCTGTATTACCTCCTTGAGAACTGTCTCCGAAAGAGTACTTTTTCGATAATTTCGATCGTATACATTAGAGCTGACAGTGTTTGAGAGTGTGTGACAGTGAAAGCATGCCAGTGTTTTTATGTGTATATGTGGGCGCTGAGTACATAATATGACTTTTCTTGAGAATATACTTGAACTTTGAGGCTGGATAGTGCGGGTATGCGTGTAATCCCGTACCAGCTGACCAGAAAAAGTTCGTTCAAAGAAATTCTAATAACTTTTTTGATTATAACTCAATTGGCATCAAAATGGACAGAAAACTAAAACATACATCCGGATTATGTTGTTTTTTTAAAGTTAGCTTCTGCTGCACAACGGAAAATGATTAATCATTTAGCCCCTGTACAACGTGCCTTTTCAGTTTAGATGTATCAGCAAACAAAATCTCCCAAATCATCCTGTTCATGATTTGCTCACTTTTTCCTAAAGAAGGTTTAATTTTGTTACGGGCTACAAATTTTGAAAGTTTTTAGTTCATAGATAATACGATTTGAATTGTAAACGCTGAGTAACACACGGTAGACAGACTGTAAAAACAACGCTCTCTTGAAACGGTTATGATGGTCCATCATTCAGTGAACTGTAAGCAACATCTCGCCATCTTACCAAAGTTCTGGAGGGACTTTGGACTTTAATTTGTTGAGGATGAAGGGAAAAAGAACCAGCACTTCCTGCAATATAAGGCTGCTACTCATGACACCAGAGCTATTCTGGGCTGGGTAAAAAAGCAAAAACATTTTGGTCAAAAGACAGTCAGTCCGACGGCTGAGCTCAACTGGACCCTGAAACAATCCGGACCGGAGTCCCCTGGACTTTCACAATTGGGTTTTTTTAAAAGAGCATACCGTGTGGAAAAACCTTAGAAAGTATCCTAGACTTGAGAGAAACCTTCACGGAGGGCACAACAAACATTTCTCTCGAGCAGTGTCAACGCATGATTGTTAATTTCACTCAGCGTATCAGAACAGGACGTTCTTTACTCAAAATTGAGGGTATCTGGAAAATATATCGTAACTTTGTTTGTGGTAGTCACATTTTATTGTTGTTGATAAATGATAAATCCGGATGGATGTTCCACGTTTCTGCAAACGTTGGTGTTTGCTTTTTTTATTCATAATGATTTTATCGGCATTCTTTATGACAACCTTTTTCTGGTCACCCGGTTCTTAATTTATTATAATGTGTGTTCGTCATATTGACTATAGGTTGTTCACTTTTGTCTGACTGCGGTTAAAACAAGATAAAATTAAATGAGTCTGTTCAATCTTCTCCGATCTTTGCGTAATACGAGCCTAAATGTTTGATGACCAACAGAATCTAAAAACCATTCATAGAAGTCAGTGAGGTTCCGAAACATGTTCTTTATATAAGCCTACAGCGTGTCAAAAAATAGTAGGGGGTTTACAGATACATACACCTAAAACATTGATAAGTTGACATATTTTTCCTCAACACCACACTCAAACGTACGCCAAAGAAACTCGATTCAAGAGGCAGGGTGAGTAATTTTTTAGGCTCACATGGAGCACGTGGAGATGTCCAGTCAAGATAGCCAGGGGATGAAATCTACAAGCTTACACTGAAGTGTAAGGGCCGGGTGGTGTCGCTATGTCAAAATGAGCAACTTGCAGGCAAGGATACTGTAAGTCATTTATTTTAGTGATCTTGTGTATACAATCAAAGAGTGGTTTTTAATATAGGGCCTTAAGAGAAAAATATTTATATATTACTGGATCAAGATCTTTTTTAAAAATATATTTTTGTTTGGTCGCCAGCCTGCGAATGTTCCACGCAGCTTTTCGTGGACATAGGTAAATTAATAAATGAGCTAGACTTTTTTAACACGGATCGATGAAAGTGAACAAGCTATAGTCCTTCCCATCTTGGCTAGGACTGACCTTCACAAACACATATCACATAGAGAGAATTGACAAACGTCTACAAACTTTAATTACATTGCACAGTAGTTCTAAAATTATTTTTGAAAATGTAATATTACAAAGTATGAAGGGTCCAGTTTAAGTTCAAAATGCTCTATTGTATGTGAAAATAATAATTTTTCTCTCTCGGCTGGTAGATCTACCTTCTATTTAAATCTAATCTCCCGTTAATATTGATTACTTTCATTTTTTATTATAATAAATTTTTCCATATTAAAACACTAACAAAAACACAAGACAGACTACTTTTTTACGTGAAGAGCTAGCCTTACGATCCAGACCTTCTTCCCCTCTCACGCACTCATTTTTTCTTTTCTTCAACAAATTAAGTCAGCTTCCTTCTCTGATTTTTTCGGATCATTTCGATTCTTTTTGTTATTACTTTAAAAGAATATATAACGTAAAAATATAGAATATAGCATATGTCCATTGATTTACGTGCAGGTTTTTCGTAGCCTTCAGCTTCTATCTTAAACCCAAATTTTGTCTCATTGGAGAAAAATTGATGTTTGATTTTGAATATTAAAGTTTTTCTTTATTTTTCGACAAATTGTTACTTTTATTCCTCAGAAAACTGCTTCTGTGAATAAGCTTTTTGAGCTGAAAAATGCATGCCAATCTGAGAACAAATTCATTGGTGTTTAACAGTTGTCTGTTCATGCACGATATACTTTTGATTGATTGATTCATTGATTGATTGATTGATTCATTCATTCATTCATTCATTGATTTCTTCATTCATTCTTTCATTTATTCATTCTTTCATTCATTCATATTTTACTGCAAGGAAGGAATCAATTAATCACTGCTCTCATTCCATAACTCGGGAATATCAACGCAGTCAGAATCACCTGTAGGCTTTATGAATTAAAACAGACGTCCATGAAATCGCCAAAGAGTAAATTGTAAAAAAACCCCACTCAATAGGGTTTCATTGCCACATGAATACACTGTCCCCCTTTTGGGCCACTCTCACAAGCAATCACAAACACTGATATCAAGTCTACCTCAATAGGTAAGGGGGGGGGGGGACTCTGGATAAACTCTTTGCTACCGTGAGTGTGTGGCTTTTTACTTGGACGTTTTACCGACTTTCAGGTCATGGCATGGTTATAGCATCGACTCTTGGCTATGCAAGGCTGGATAAGGTGGCCAAATTTGAAACCGAACTGATAATAGTATTGTAATCTCTCTTTCTAGGCCTTCTAACTGTGTATTCCCATTTCTAATTAAATTGACTACATGTATTAAAAAGTCTTGAGAG